GGCTCCCTTGGGGCCACGAAGCGTGTAAGGAGTGTGCCGAAATGGGTGCGGCGGACGCATGTGAGCAGTGGCATTGGGGCTTTCGGTGAGGCTCCCTATGGTGCTACGAAATGTCCGAGTGGTGTGCCGAAATGGGCGGACGCATGTGGATGGTGCCTCTGGGGCCTTGGGTGGAGCTCCCTGCGTGGCCACGAAATGGGAGTGGCGGACGCATGTAGACGTTTCCATTAGGGCTTTCGGTCGAGCTCCATATGGGGCCACGAAACGTGCGAGGGGTGTGCCGAATTGGGTGCGGCGGACGCACGCGGACGGTGCCGTTGGGGCCTTGGGGGGAGATCTCAATGGGGTCACGAATCGAGTGAGGGGTGTGCTGACATGGGTGTCGCAAACGCATGTGGACGGTGCCTCTGGGGCCTTCGGTGGAGCTCCCGTTGGGGCCACGAAGCGTGTGACGGGTGCACCGACATGGGTGTGGCGGACGCGTGTGGACGGTGCCATTGGGGCTTTGGGTGGAGCTCTGTTGTAGGGCCACGAAACATGTGAGGGGCGTGCCGACATGGGTGCGGTGGACGCATGTGGACGGTGCCATTGGGTCCTTCGGTGAAGCTCCCTATGGGGCCACGGAACGTGTGATGGGTGTGCCGAAATGGGTGGGGCGAACGCATGTGGACGGTGCCACTGACTTTAAGGGTAGCTCTTTGGGAGATGTTACAGTATCGGGAGCATAGCTCGCGCGCCGTTGCCTTTGGCCCAAGGCACGCGCGCCCTATTTGCCCGGACACCGCGAGTGTTCGCTATGTGCTGGAAAGATCATTACATCGATCTTATCCTATCTTACCCATCCACCCCTCATACTGTAGCTTCACAGCAGAGCGATGGATGCAATTTGCCTGGCTATATGCCATATTTGAGCTACCAGGCTCACTTTCGACTTGGTAGCGGAGCTGGCCGCACTCTCGTGTGGTCAGCTCTTGCTTTTCTTAGCCTCGTATTCTTCGGCACGATCTTCGTGACTACCTACCACCCTGCGCCACCACTCCCAGTACGTTTACGAGGATCTATCCAAGAGCAAGAAGCAACACGAGAGGTACGACGTCTAGACGACCAGACTGGTACCATATACGCTTCATCATTGCGTTACTACCAACCGCTCGGCAACGAGCTAACAGCGCAATGCTTGAAGCAGGGGCGGGGAAACCCGCCAGACAGAGCGCCTCGAAGACTCGACAAGGCGCTACCCCAGCGCGACAACGCGCATCATAACCGTCCTTCGTTACACATTCTCGGGCTAGTCGTTTTCGCTATTATATGGTTCGCGCTGGGGGCAGCAATCGGACACATGCGTCGTGGAGAAAACAGCACCGATGGGCAAACACATGGCCCATATTGGGACCCTCAAGGTAATGTACCTTTTCGTGAGTACATCTACGAGGTCAACGCATGGCTCAACGTTACAAGCGGACGTATGACGCCACAGGCCCAAGCGGCCGCAATACAACGCGGCCTAGGTGGCCTAGCGAGGACACTCGCCATGAGGGTACCGCCTGACATTATCAACTATGGTGCTGACATCGATGGGGTCCACACAGACCCAGTGACCTACATCATGTTCCTCCTAAGCATGAAGTTCGAACGCCTGGAAGATGAGCGACAGCTCACTTCCGGCACACAACTCATTGACTTCCACGTGCCTCACGGGGAACGAATCGATGTCACCCTTACCCGATTCGAAATGGCCCGACTTGAGGCACAGTCGGTGGGATTCGACCTTCCCAACTTCCAACTGCTAACCACTATCCTATTCCGCGCCTTAGGCGTCGGCAACCAGCGAGCCATGCAACTCTTATAGCCACTCAATCACCAAATGCCCCGAAAACAACAACAGTATGATGAGTTGCTGGAGAGGATGCGTTCGATAGGCCACCTATCCGAACGGTCTCCTGGTAATATAGGATCTGTGTTTGGAAGGGGAAGGGGATCTGGTAGTGGAAATTTCTACACTACCTTGACCACTGAAGCCCAGCCTGGAAACGGGCCCTCAAGCATATGGGCCGATGACCCAGGAGAATCCACTGCTTTATTAGCAGGGGATCGATCACAACCAAGCTGGGCAACCAGCCCTCCTTCTAGAGAACCACAACCACACCGTTTTTGTGGGGGGAATCAAACCCCCTAACCGACGGTGTATCCACCTACTTGGGAGACGAGGATTTCGACTCCGGCACCGATACAGACACTATATCATCAGATGGTGTTGAAGCTTTAGATTGGTCAGATATTATGAATATGGATAACCACAATCAGCGTGCTGAGCATTTGTTCTGGTTATTACAACAGGCTAAACGAAGGTGGAGGAGGTTCACACGAAAACCAGTGCGTCGTGTTAGAAGGAGGATACGTAGAAGTCTTAAAGGAAAGGGTAAAGGCAAGCGAGGTCGTCGGAGGTTGAACGGACGAGGTATCGCGGCATTTCTCCAGAGGCTCTCAGATGAACAACATGATGAGATATTCTTTGGGGGAAAAGGCCGTGGTAAAGGCCGTAGAGAGACCTCAGGTAAAGGCAAAGGTAGGCGGGGAAACCCGCGAGGTAGAGACGGCCAGGTTCTCAAATGCCATGAATGTGGTAGTTCCGATCATCTTGTGCGAGATTGTCCAGTGAAGGGAAATGGAAAGGGCAGGTCAACCGAAGTCCATTTTGGCTCAAGTGAACCATCCATTGAGTATCTGAGCCTCCAGGACTTTGAGGCTATGGAGCAGATATTTTTCACTTGGGTTGTTGGCATGGACAACGTCGACGAGCTCGAGGGGTATGGTCATGGATTGTACGCGTACTACCTCGAGTACGTCCGCCGGTTCGTTACGGGCAGTAACGAGCTCACTCCCGTGGAACACGGTACGCTGGGAAACCAGCCTCTTTCTTTCTTCGACTGGATGTTCGGGGACCCAGGCAACATCATGGCCTACGAGAGCGACGACGAGGACACCACTATAGAGGCTTCGCCTTCCGAGGTTCAACGGAACCTCGAACCTCCGCCCGAAATCCCGCCTGGAAACAGGCCGTCTCTGATGGGAGAATATCCCCAGACCACTGAAGACTTAATTGAAATGGAGTCTCAGGCATTTGTTCAGGCCTTCATTGCAGGCGAACCAGATACTCCGTTCATACCTCCTGGTTCGCTTGCTCCAGGCGAATATGGACCACGCACCCTTTTGCAGACCCTCATGAGGATGCATGAGATACTTATAACTGGTTATCCTGAGAGTCAAGAACATATCGAAGCTGACATTATGACAGAACAGGATACTGATGCTTGCGGTAGCTCAGAGCTGTTGTTGGCAGCTCTGACTCTCATTGACGGCGTGCATCCTCAGGACGTGCAGAGACACTTGATATACTCCCGTGGTAGATGGCGTAATGCTCTAGAAATGGCTATTGCCATGCGCGGTCGTGATCTTCCCCCGCCAGGATGGGGTCTCCAGGCGGTGGGAATGAGGCCAAACCATACGGCCATGCGTAACATTGCTGGGCAGCCTGTGCTCGGCAACGAGCCTGAGCCGACAACAGTGCCTCCTACTCCGGGACAGCCGAGCGACGCACAGACGCCGGCTATGCAGGGAAACCTGCCTGTACCAGATACGCCAATGGCCATCATCATCGGTAGTTCGACATCAGAAGAAGTAGAAGGCGATGGTTGCGGGTTAGATGAGGATGACGTCACCATCCTCATGATGGACGTGAATGGTGAGGAAGAGGTTGACTTCGATCCTGATGAGTCTGAATCATCATCACCATCGGCACAAGCGCCATTTGCGCCGAGCTCCACCCAGCAGGGAGACCTGCCTCCATCGGACGATCCATCTGGGATCGCACAGGAGCCTCCTCAGGCACCTCCACCGGGTGCCGCTCCTGCTGCTTCGGCAGCTTCCTCTGATGAGAACACCAGAAGATCTCGTTCCCATACGAGCGTCAGAGAAGAGCCACATCCACAGGCTCGACTTCCTCGTGAGCGGAGGCAGGCTGGCCCAAAAGAACACGCTCTCAGGAGAGGTGGCCAGCTACTTCCGTACAACGACCCAAGACGCCGAAAAGGGGAACACTCGGCCTTCGGCAAGGGCAACCCTGCCTATAGGGCCAGTGATGGCAAGGCCATCCGCGGAGGCTATCAGCTTGCAACAAATATCCGCCGCCCTGAAATTCAAGAAGCGCGGACTCAGTTGCGAGATATTAGCGCGGCGCGCAAGCAGTATAGGCCTCACGCAGCATGCGGACCTTGTTCCCAGCCGTTCCAGAACCACAGGCCAGGATGCCCCGTTGGCAACAACGAAGGCCTGAGCCCCAACAGGGACAATACCCCTCATAAAGAGGGCCATCCGCAACTTATCCCGATGACACAGGAAGAAATTGCAGAAGTGAATCGTCGTCTCGGGATCTTGAGCCACTTGGATCCGAAAGAAGAAGAAAAGCCAACCCCGGTTCCAAGGGGACTGGTAGCCATGAC